AGACCCATATTGTGGTCCTGCCCAGAGAGTCCCACATTAACAAATTTTACGGGGACGGTGATCCAGCTTTAACCAACAGGTTCAGTGAAGAGGTCAAAGCGGCCTGGGCCTCGAGATACATGTCACCAGAGGAAAGATTAAGACTGCTGATGGGCAGTATAGGAGAGATGGTTAGGGCAGAGGTCAAATGCCACGATAAAACCATCCAATCAGATCCAGATAAGGTGCTGGATCTAATTATGGAGACCTTTGGGGAGAGACGGTCGGGATCGCAACTGCTATCGGGGTTCGTAGGCTTAAAGCAGAGAATGGCGGAGAGTGTGATGGAGTATTCACACCGAATGAACAGGGCCTTTGATTCGGTAAAGGGCAAAACACCTGACATTGATGTGCGCCTACTGAGGGACCATTTCATCGAGGGGCTAGCAACCCCGATCTTAAGGAGAGAGTTGAAAGAAGAGGTCCACAAAGACCCGCAGTTGACCTTCCTTCAGGTCAGGAACTCAGCGATCCGCAGGTCCGAGGATGAGGACCAATCGAACTGTTCGGTAGACAAAGTCTCTGTGCCGGAACAGAAACAATCCCCACCCACAGGGACCGGCACGATGGAAACCATGATGGCTCAACTGTTGGCCCACCTGGATAAGGTTGACCAACGATTGGAGAGGTTGGAAAGCAGGTCAACAGCTGAGAATCAGGAAAAGAACGGGACAAAACAGAGACAGGTTGGACAGCCGCGACCCGCCGGTCCATCGCTCCGGTGGACGGCTGACGGTCGACCAATTTGCTTGTCCTGCTCACAACCGGGACATATGGCACGGTACTGTCCGGTGAAACTATCGCCCTCTGTAAGGCAGGTCAAGGCTACAGAGCGGCGAGGTTATGGCGTAAGAAACAAAAGGAAACAAACAATGAAAGAGTCTCAAACAAGACTCGAAGAGAAATTATCAGATATTGAAAAAATGAACTGTGAAATGAACTTGAATGTTGAAAAGTTTCAAGTGAACAATTTGTTGGCTAAGAAAAATGATGATAAGGAAGAAGTTGGTAGACTTAAGAATGAGATCTCAAGGTTAACCATGAAACGGGATAGGGAAAGTTCATGCAAATTAAAAGCACAGGAGAAATGTTCATCTGTAGAGTGTCTGTTATCTGAAGAAGAAAATAGAAAATTTGTACCTGGTTTTGCAAAAAATGCCGCACCGTTGCATGACTTGGTAAACAAAATGACAAAGAAACACAGTAAGGAGAAAAAGAAAGGCAAAACACAACTGATAGGTGAAGTATGGACTGAGGAATGCCTGAACTCGTTTAAGCTACTGAAAAATGCTTTGACAGAAGCGCCGATATTAGGATACGCAGACTTTGACAAACCATTTCGGCTAGAAATTGACGCCAGCTCTAAAGGTCTGGGAGCTGTGCTATCACAACAACAAGAGCAAGGTTTCAGGGTTATTGCGTATGCCAGTCGAGCTCTGAAGGAATCAGAGAAGAACATGACAAATTACAGCGCCATGAAACTAGAACTTTTGACATTAAAATGGGCTGTGACTGAAAAATTCAGGGACTATCTATTAGGTGCTAAATGTGTGGTATACACTGACAATAACCCCTTGAGTCACCTAAAGACAGCAAAGTTGGGATCCATCGAACAGCGATGGGCAGCAGAATTGGCACTCTTTGACCTAGAGATAAAATATCGCCCGGGGCGGTCCAATGGCGATGCGGACGCTTTATCAAGGAATCCTTACGAGAGACCGGGCGATGAGGAAGAAACGCTGACAGGAATATGTGAGGTCAGAGCGTCAACAGAGATCCCTCACGGGGTGCAAGTGAGGCAGAACGGACAGACCGGGGTGGAGCACATTTCCACAGAGCCCGGACATATGGACATTAGTGATTTTAATTGCCTTAATAATAAAGAGATACGAGATGCCCAGAGAACGGATAGCGGGTTACAGCCGCTATTGAAATACGTCCAGGAACAAAAATTCCCAAGAAGAAGGGAAAGAGAACAGTTTGGTCGGGAAACAAAGAAACTACTGAGTCAGTGGGACCGTCTCAGTATAAAGGATGGTGTTCTCATGCGGAGAATTCATGACCAAATAGACGGGACAATACACCAGGTGGTGGTGCCTGGACAGTTACGAGAAGAAGTGCTAAGGTTGGCACATGACAGGGCAGGACACCAGGGTCAGGACAGGACGCACAAAATATTACGACGGCGGTGTTACTGGCCCAATATGGAGATGGAGGTCAAACGCCATTGTGAGGCTTGTGTTAGGTGTCAGCATGCGAAAATGCCAGTTGTCAAAATGAGACAGCCATCAGGACACTTACTGGCGACAAAACCACTAGAGATTGTGGCTATGGACTTTACGTCGTTGGAGCAATCATCGGATGGGACGGAACATGTGTTGGTAATGACTGATGTATTCACCAAATGGACTGTGGCGGTGCCCACACGAGATCAGACTGCCAAAACAGTGGCAAAGGTCTTAATAGAACATTGGTTCATCAAATATGGCATACCAAGACAATTACACTCTGACCAAGGAAGGGCCTTCGAGTCAGAAGTAATTAACCAACTGTGCAGCCACTACGGGATCAACAAATCTAGAACAACCACATTTAATCCGAAAGGAAACGGACAGTGCGAGCGGTTCAACCGCAGCATGCATGATTTGCTGCGTACTCTAGAACCTGAACAGAAAAAACGTTGGCCTGATTTTCTCCCAGAGTTGGTATATCTATACAACTGCACCCCCCATGCCACAACCGGCTTTTCGCCACACATGTTACTGTTCGGACGGGAGGCTCGACTCCCTCTTGACTTGTTCCTAGGGAAAAAGGAAAGTATGACTGGCTCATACACCGCACTAGAATATGTGAATGAACATATGAGACGAATTAGAGAAATGTACAGGGTAGTACAGGAAAGATTAGAACATGAAGCACGGCGAAGGGAACCGCCGGTACAGACAAAGGACCCGCCACTCAAACTGAACGACAGGGTATTACTGCGTAGCCACCCGTTAGGCAGAAACAAAATCCACGACCTCTGGGGACAGGAGATATGGCAAGTCGTGGAGATGCCTAAAGTAGCTGGTGGCCCCTTTAAGATAAGACCCATCGATCACACCAAACCGGATCGGTGGGCGAATATTGCTCAATTAAAGAAATATTGTCATAGTCAAGAAGAGCAGTTACACACAAGGAAACCTAAGACAATTAGGGAACCGGAAACTATAACGGAAATTCACATACCCATCCCGGAACCATGTCACCATCAACAGCGCAACAGCGATACACAAGGGGAGGATAACGGCAACAAAGAGGATCCCGTTCCTCCCAGAAGCAGAGAGACAGTAGACCAGCAGATAAGTGGTCCGCGAAGAAGTTTGAGAAACAGAAAGAATACGAAATTTTTCGTCAGCAACCATCAATTCTTTCATGGTCGCGCTGGTATGAGAACAGACTGTTCAAAAAGCTATAAAAGTGAACTGGTGAAAGCACCAAACGAAAAAAGGTGGATGTGAATTCTAGAACTGTTTTGTGTCTGAGGAAGATGATGTAGACACATTTGATATGTGAAATAGGGATAACTGTCAATCTTATACGAATGTGACGACATTGACAGTGAGTGGAACAATAAATTTTTTTTACGGTGGTGCGATTGACTTTGAAGGACTGCACCTGCCAAGCGTTGTTTGTGGTTGATAACACACAAAAAAAGGCAGGGGTGGATGTAACTAGGGGAAGTTACCAGAGACATAAGAACGCAGTACAGCGCTGTCAACTTTGACATGACTGATGTAATAACGCAGGTGTTGGCTGATAACGATCAGAAAGCCAAGGCGTAGTATTTTGGGAAGCGATACGATAAGAACGCAATACGGTCTGTCAACTTTGATGTGACAGGATGCAGATGGCTTATTAATCGGACTGTACGACAGAAGCGGCGTAATTAACATTCTGATGCAACGATTAGAATCGATTACGATTACGATTACGATTACGAATCCGATTACGAATACGAATACGAAGGGATATATAGGAAGGCGACGGCTGAGATAGACAGAGAGAGATGATCAGTCGGATCAGGGAGAGAGATGATCAGTCGGATCAGGGAGACAGATGATGAGTAGGGGATCAGTCAGTCAGTCAGTAAGAGGAGTATCAAGTTGGTTATTGAACGGGTTAGCCGTATTGTGTTAATAAGGACGATAGACATGTGCATTCAGTTATGTGAAGACTAGTGAGGACTGTTGGGGGTCAGTTGATTCAGACTATTATTGTGAAGCATTTCTTTTGATTCATTATATTATTGTGAAGCATTTCTTTGATTCATGTAATAAAAGGATCAATAGTGAACCTGCATCTTCGAGTATCTATACTGTGGTCGATGTTGTGTAGAATGAGTGGTTAGACTCGGTAACATTTGGCGTTGTCGAGCAGAAGATTCAATTAGACTCGTTAACATTTGGCACTACAGGCAAATAGACTCGTTACATATATAAATTCTACACTGTTAACAATCGTTGATATATTGTATTTTTACATATATGCGGCATTAAATTCTTTGGTGCACCACATACACATAATCATATACTCCACCTACATCCAACATATCACCAATTTTCCACCAACTTATCACCAATTCTCCACAAACATATCACCAATACTCCACCAACATCCAACATATCACCAATACTCCACCAGCCTATCACTAATACTCCACCAACATATCACCAATTCTCCACCAACATATCACCAATTCTCCACCAACATATCACCAATACTCCACCAACATCCAACATATCACCAATACTCCACCAACCTATCACTAATACTCCACCAACATATCACCAATTCTCCACTTACATATCACTAATACTCCACCTACCACCTACATATCACCAATACCCCACCTACATATCCCCAATACTCCATCTACATCCATCGCGTCTCACCAACATATCATCTACTTTCAGAAGCTGAATCCAACAACATATTTCATAACGACAGCCTCAACAGTCAGATCCAGTTGTTGATGGACGAAGCGACGGACCGTCTTATTGTAGGGGGAACGTGAGTACTATTTTCTGTATCGTGTAATACACACTCTTTCATTCCACTAGTGAGTTTTCTAAAACATAAATCTTGCTGACCATCGACTTAATACTATTGGTCACTGTGATTAAGCCTCTATGTCAAAATAGATAAGTCGACAAACTGACTACTCGCAACAGAATAGAATAAAATAAATTAACTACCATAGCCAAAAAAACGTAGCACACACTCCCAGAACCAGTTACCACACTAACTACCACTAACTACCACATACTACCACAAAGACGGAGATCAGAAATTATTTACAAAATGTATAAAATATTAAACTGGTTGAAAAATATGCTTTCTTGCAACAACCATTTGGAAGCAATTTGGAGCCAGCTTTTCAAGCCTATTTCTGTTGTTGTTTTTTTTTTATTTTAATACAGAAGAAAGTTTAGGAAAGATCACACACGTTTTTTTTTAATTTTCATTTTCAATTACAAAACAATATTTAAAACTAAAATATGTACAGAAGGATTAAAGTATGTAATGTATACATTTCTAAACTCACCACAGAGATATGTTGTTTGTTTTGGATATGAAAACTATGAAGACTACCCAGACAGTAGAATGGATATCTAGAGATGAAGTCTTGTGTGAGGCCCGGAATATACCTAAGGTATGTCAGTTTTAGATTAGAGGTTTAGATTAGAGGTATGTCTGTTTTAGATTAGAGGTATGTATGTGTTAGAGGTATGTCTGTGTTAGACTATAGACATGTCTGTGTAAGACTAGAGGTATTTCTGTGTTAAGGTATGTCTGTATTAGACAAGAGGTATGTCTGTGTTAAGGTATGTCTGTATTAGACTAGAGGTATGTCTGTGTTTGTTTGGGCCAAAGGTACGCGTATGTTCTGCTTGGGCGTATGTTCTAAATGTTCTAATTTTTCCCTTTATCAAAACCCTACCAGGATAAGTGCCGGAACTACATTCGTGTATTGATACCTTATGAAGGCGATAAAATCTTCGTCTGTGGAACACACAGCTACTCCCCACAGTGCACTCTCAGAGACGTAAGTTTTTTTTTTCTTTCTTTGCAATTGTTTTGTTTTAGTTGTCACGTACGTTAAGACCCGATGACAATGCAATGTTACATAATTAAGGATTGCTATATAAAGTACTAATTTTCCGCGCTATTATACGCACGTTGTTTGCGTTCATTGTGGCGCGCAATTTGTTTTAACTAGTGCGATTTCATTTCGGTTTTTTTTTTTAAATTAAGTATTCGAAAAGATTTAATAAAGGGTTGTTTTATCAGTTTGTATTTGTGTTTTTGTTGTGGTTGCTAGTGGTCAGGGTTAAGTTTACGATAAAAGTTTAGCATTATGCGTCCATATTTGTATATAGACATGTAATTGGAAAAGTTGATCATAAACCCGTGCAATGCCGGTATATGCTACTTAAACACACAAATCGCGGTTCTTTACAGGTTTTTCACAGAGGCCAGTGCAGGGCCTGGCCGAGACGGCTAGTAATTTATAAAACTGTATTTAGGCTGTTGCTCGTAATTTTTAAACTCCACTAATTTCAAGTAAAATTATATCACAAAAAAAAAAAGGATTTTTTTCCCTACACATTGATACCAATTTTGTGTCTCTAGCTTAATTAGGAGCTAAGATATGGCCTTTTAAAAATTTGTGGGCGTGGCTAAAACAGCTTAGTGTATTATCCATTCCTTTTAAATATTCTGTTTGATTCATTTTTATCAAATTATCCACTTTTGATTAATTTCTAGGCCCAGGATCTGAACCTCATACTTCGTAATATAACCGGCGTGACTTACTGCCCCTTCAGTCCGGATATCAACTCCATTGTTGTCATGACGAGCAATATGGACGCATACAGCGCCTCAGTGGCGGATCCACAGGAGCGTAACCCGATCATAGTCAAGAAGGGTCACGACGGTCACATTCTGATTACACCAAAGTCGAATTCTTACTGGCTGAATGGTGAGTTATAGCTTGGTCACTGCTCAGTTCTTACTGATGGGTCACTGGTCAGTTTTTACTGATGGGTCACTGGTCAGTTTTTACTGATGGGTCACTGGTCAGTTTTAGATGAGTGACTGGTCAGTTTTTATTAAAGGCTTACTGGTCAATTATTATAGATGAGTCACTAGTTAAGTTATATATCAAATTTGAGGTTCTGTATCAACTTTTTTGCAATTTCCGGTAACCGGAAGTTGTACTTATTCTACTTTTGGGCTATTAAAAGCCTATAACTTGAGTACTATTTCACATAGATAAACGAAATTTCACATATAAGTATAAGATCTAATTATCTGCCTTCTGTCGAATTTTGAGTAATATCCGTTGAATGGAATTAGTACTTTGCGCTATTTCCGATTTCTCAAAAACGCATATGAATTTATAAAGTACTGATATTCCGCACTGTTAAATACATATTGTTTGCCATTCACTTGGTGCGCAATTCTTTTTTCTACGAGATTCTATTCTATTTTTTAAAAATGATTAAAAATCATATCTATATCACGAGTTGCCATCCCTGTAGTGTTATATAAGAATCTTCGAGAAAGTTTAGTGAAGATCACTCCCGCTTTATTAAAACTAAATTTCCTTTTTCCAACTTACCATTTTGATTTACATAACACGAAAAGAACAAAATAAAAATAAATGTATTATGCTTTACAAAAGTTCCAATTGTGTTTGAAAAAAAAGTATATAAATTACGTCTGTTTGTACCAAATACATGTGGGAAAAAAAGATAATAAAAAAAGTAAATAAATTGTTTTGATGTTTGTGTTTGCGGTTTTTTTTTGTGTTTGCTTTCTATATGTGTTTTTGTTTGTGTTAATGTTTACGTTTGTGTTTGCGTTACGTTTTTGTTTACATTTGTGTTTATATTTTTGTTTGCGTTTTTGTTTGTGTTTGCGTATGTTTTTGCTTTTCTGTTTGCAGTTGTGATTGTGTTTGTTTTTGTGTTTGAGCGTGTGTTAATGTTTACGTTTTAGTTTTAGTTTGCGTTTATGTTTGCGTTACGTCTACGTTTGTGTTTTTGCTTGTGTTTGTGCTTGCTTTTGTGTTTGCGTTTCGGTTTATGTTTGCGTTTGTGCTTTATTTTTGTTGTGGTTGGTTTCGTTTAGGGTTAAGTTTACAGTTATAGCTAGGTTTAGGTTTATGCGTCCATATTTACATATAGACGTTTAATTAGAAAAGTAATATACTTCCTAAACCCTGGCAATGCCGGGTATATGCTGAATAAAAACATACAAGACACGGTTCTGTACAGATATGTTTTTCAAAAAGGCCAGTGCAGGGCCTGGTCTTGACGGCTAGAATGTATATATATATATATATATATATATATATATATATATATATATATATATATATATATATATATATATATATAATCAACAATAGTTATAACTGACTAAATATATTGATCATTAATCATACAGTCTTTTAAGTAGTTCTGAATGCCAAACTTTTTTTTTTGCTTTGATTGATTCTAACATAATTTTCAACATACTATATTACCTATTTTACTGATAAATTGTTTTGTTTCTACTTTAGCTCCAAGTTTTGTATCTGCTTATGAGATCAATGAATTTGTGTACTTCTTCTTCCGAGAGGCAGCTGTAGAGAACATAAACTGTGGAAAGGTAAAGCGAATATTGTCGACTTGGGGGTGCGGTTTGGATGGGATTTGGGTAAAAGAGGGGGGGGGGGATGCCCCACAGGTGTTCAACAATGGACTCCCACCCTGATTGGGATTAAACAATTTTTTTAAAGGCAAGATTGGTAGGCCTAATGAAAACAATCAACCAAAGAAAGACATTTTGTAGTTCAATGGGTTAGCATCATACCACACATGCACTGCAATATTTAGTCATCATCATTACGGGGACATGAGTTAAAGGACAGAAGTTTTCGGGGGGACGTTCTGCCCGGGATTCAAAGGGATGACTCGAAATATCATCCAAACTGTTATTCAGAATGGTACTGGGGAAATAAACGAATGCCATTTTTTCTTCTTTTCCTGGGATGGAATTCGAATTTTTCATGAGCCATGTGATTGTGAGAGACTGAATTGTTTTTAAAATACGTATTTAAAATCTAGTGTCGAATATTGATGAAGGAAAAAAAACATTGACTACAATATTAGTTAAACCATGTAAGCGTCTAACTAGTTTAAGAATTTTTAATTTTTACTGAAGCTGAATTTTCAGTTGATGTAGGGGACATTACTAGCTAGTCAGAAACCGAAACTTGTTTACAAAGTTAATTCCCTTTAAACAGAATTTGTTTCTCTCTTTAGGTGGTTTTTTCAAGAGTTGCAAGAGTGTGTAAGGTCAGTTGATTTTATAAAAAACATTGTCATTATATTTGAAACAAATAGGCCTAGATTATATTACAACTATACTAGTATTAAAGACATAAAGCCATATTAACGAGTCACCTTTCTTTCACATTAATAGCCGTGGACGATTTTATCTACCTAAAACGATAAATTACAAAACATTTAGTGACATTGTCATTATTCAATTTTAAAATCAGGCCAAGTTTGCAATTTCAGTGATGATTTATCTTACAAAAAATGTTTCATGTAGCCTAAAGTAAATTATAATTTAATTTAATTAATGCCTGCATGAAACATATATAATTTATATGTACATTACCTGCTGAAAGTTGTTTTATTTTTAACCATTTTCTTCCCCAATATCTCTTGATGTTTCTAGAATGACAAAGGAATTGGCACATGGACTACATTTTTAAAAACAAGACTCAATTGCTCTTTGCCAGGGGAATACCCCTTTTACTTTGATGAGCTTCAGTCAACGTATTACTCAGAAGACAAGAAGTTGGTGTATGGTGTGTTTACAACACCCAAGTATGTGTCCATTATGCTAATGCATGTTTTTTCTTAGGTCTTAATTAGACAAATCCGACTTCTTTAATGAACTGGACTACAGATATGCAGACATACATTTCTTAATTTGGCTCCAAGTTTTGATCACCAAAATTGTTTAGAATTTAACAAATCACAGTAGTTAGAGATTTAATTTTACTTTTTTTTACCCATTTCTGGTTCTTTATTATTAATTAAGCATGCATTATTCCAAATACATATTTCATATAGTTTTAAACTGTGTTAATTTAATTCTAGTTTAAGTCCATTGCTTAGGTTAAATAAAAACTATTATTATTTTAACACCTGTAAAAAATTATTTATTGTTTAAAGGAATTTGTTGGTTAGATTTTTATCTAAAAGCTTGTTTTAAAGAATTTGATGAACAGTATTTGTTGCATAGAATAATGTCTAAAAACATTGTGCATTAAAAACTTCACCCCATCTGTTTCAGGAATGGCATGGCGGGTTCAGCTGTTTGTGTATATAGTTTGACAAGCTTTCAAAATGCTTTTGAAAGCCCATTTAAGTTTCAAGAACACTACAATAGTTTATGGCTAGCCAAGCCTAACAACAACAGTAGACAGGTTAGTTTTAGAAAGGTTACTCTATTCATCACGATTAACATTTTCACGAACTCTTACCTTTTTTAACCTTTATTTAAATAACTTCATCAAAAATTAAGATGTAGATGCCGATTTGAATATGTTACAGGCCCATTCTATAACTAAAGCATGTATAAGAAACTGCTTATATTACAAAAACATCAGGAATGGTGTGGTCTAGTCAGTAAAGCTCATGGTTGCTAAACCAAAAATTCTTGAGTTCGAACCCTCTGGCAGATGAGGCTCGACAGCTGGGGACAGCAACTCTTCTATGATAGATATCTCCAAAATCAAAAGAAAAGCAGGCTGAAATCTGAGTCAAGTCCTATATTGCGCATACCAAGTTGACACGTATACTTCTAACACTAAAATTAAGAACACAGAAAAAGGAGAATAAAAATATCAAAATTGTTTTGGTTTTAAGAAACTTAATTTTTTTTAAATTACCCTTTTCCGTACTTCCAATATTTAGAAATGAATTAACTATATTGAGATAGAGTCTGGGTAATTTAAGTCAGTTTTTTCTATTTTATAGACTAAACAATTATTTTTTTTTACAATTTTGATTTACCTAAGTGCTGTTAATCTTCACTGAAAGAGATTTAAAAAGTTATTCTATTTTCCACTAAAACATTGCAAAATTATCATTTTTAATATATTTCCAATACATTTTCAGTGTGAAAAAACTAAAAGATCTCCAAATGATAGAAGACCACCAAACAAGGGACCTGAAAATCATGTGTTGATGGATCAGGCAGCCATGCCAAAAAATAATCAACCACTTATTATGAAAAGAAATGAAAGGTAAGTACTCTTTTGAAGTTTGTATTCATTGTCAGATTTAGTCAACTTTATTTATGTTTAGCATTATTGGAGTTTATATAAATCGTCAGATTTAGTTATAAAGTCAGCTTGAATTATCTTTAGCATTTTGCAAAATTTACTCTAATAAAATTTTATTTTTCTATCCGGACATATATTGGGTAGGTAATCTACAAACTAAAATGTGAATTTTCCAGGTGGACCCAAATAGCAGTAGACCACCTGTTATCTCAAGGAGAACATTTTGACATCATATTTCTGGCCACTGAGGAAGGCAAAGTTCTTAAGATGATGAAAAATCCAAGGGCAGAAGAAGCCTGCCTTATTGAAGAACTCCACGTCGTGCCCAACAAAAGTGATGTAATACAGAACATGAAACTTTCCAAAGCTCACGTATGTTCAACATTTTTAAAATTACTTTATTATGACTAGCATAGTGAAGCTGTTTTTGGATCTTAAATGATGTATGACTAGCCTAGTGGAATTGTCGTTAGTTATTTGTAAAGTTGTACTCCCTACTATTTCCAGAACTCTCTTTTCATTGCGATTAGAGAAAACATCATCAAAATCCCCCTGCAGCGCTGTGAAAGGCTTAGTACAAAGCAGTAAGTTGACCAGAGACTTATCATAGCTTCACTTATTATATCTATTCCCTTTTTAATTTTTTTTTTTTCAACAGTTTTTCTTTTTAATTTAGAATAAAGCAATTTTATTTACAATATAAAAAACAAATACTTAAATAAATACTAAAAACTTAAAAATCAATTTTTCTACTGCTAGGATCTGTATAACTACCAAAATCCTTATTTTAAATATTTTGATGTAACAATTTTTCTACTGCTAGGATCTGTATAACGGCCCAAGACCCCTACTGTGGCTGGCATAATAAAGATAAGAAGTGCATCCCGCAACCAGTTAACCCGGAAGATTATATCCATTGGGAACAGAAAATTGAAGGATGCCCTGATATAAAGTCACGAAGTAAGTAAAACTTGTTTGAGATTTCCTGGCATCTTCCCTTGACTTGACGGCTTTCAAAGCCTCTGAGGAACAAAGGGTTGCAGCTACATCTCTCCGCCCTACTCTGTTTAGGGCAGCTCTCTTGATTACATATTAGGCCAGCAGCTCTCTTAAGTACACATTAGCATAGCAACCCTTGCATCTACAGTGCACAAGGAGTATTCTATATGTTATGATTTTCTAGTCCTATATGACTATAACTTATCATGATATTTTAGTCCTATATGACTATAACTTATGATATTCTAGTCCTATATGACTATAACTTATAACAATAATCTTCCACATCCTCAATAGTCTTTAAGTTCCCTAGCATTTGATTAAAGTTTTTTATCTCTTGTCCATCAGTCCATGGAGGTTGGTCTGACTGGTCGGAGTGGACCACCTGCCCATATAATGGCGACGACAAACACACAGAGTCGTGTCTCTGTCGGTCAAGAACTTGTGATAAGCCTGTACCTATCAATGGGGGCAAGTACTGCCATGGACACCATATTGAGATCAAGGACTGCAAAGGTAAGCATCAGCATTTGTTAGTATTTATTGCTACAAATACTAGACAAGAAAGTATACTAATTACCTGGGTAATTTTATTTCATGGGGCATTCATAACCCGCGGCATTCATAATCTGGTTAATTTATAACCTGGGACATTCATAATCTGGTTTGGTTGATAAATTCGAAAAAGTCTCGAGTTCAAGCCGTCTGGCAGATAGACTCGATCACTTCCAACACTAAAAATGAAGAAGAAGAAGATAATCTGGTTCATTTATTATCTGGGGCATTCATTACCTGGGGCATACATAATTTGTGTCATTCATAACTTGTATTTTTCATCATAACGGCAACTATAACTTGCACCATTTGAAATATGATATCCCACTGTCTGAAGAAAACAAAAGTAGCTATGATACTTTAAATGTTTGATTAACTACTTTAATTTTCTTTTCCCAGTGAATGGGGCCTGGACAGATTGGTCACCGTGGTCACCCTGTTCTAGGACTTGTGGCTGGGGTGAAAAAACCAGAACACGAATATGTGGAGAACCCGCACCCCAGTTTGGTGGAAAGCCTTGTGTTGGTAAAGATATAGATAAGCAGTCATGTGACAGTGCGCCATGTCCAGGTGAGTTTACTCATTACACATTTGTGGGCTATAAGGTAACTTTAGGATTATCATCTAACCTGATATACTTCTGCAGACTATCATACAACCTAACACAAGTTCAAAAGATATTCATGTAATTTTATGTGGCAGCTTAAAATAAAATTATTTTGCCCTGAATATATTTTGTTATACTTTTTTCTTGTTAAACAATTGTAAATTTTTTTTAAACCGTAGTTTATGTAAAATTTATTTTTTCCGTTCATTTAATAGATTTTTAGATAACCCGTACCCCTACCAAAAATTGTGTAAAGAATTTTTTTTTAAAGCTATGAAAGTGAATAGAGTGTATTCTAGATCTAATTAAAATTCTAATTTCTATTTCGAAGCAATCCCTATTGATGGTGAGTGGTCGGAATGGGCAGGATGGAGCACCTGTACTGTCAACTGTAACAAGGGCTTCCAGGTCAGGAAGAGGCGCTGTGACAAGCCCAAGCCCAACAACGGAGGGCGCCTCTGTGAAGGCAACAACGAGCAGTACAGGACGTGTAACACACACGTCTGCACAAGTGAGTGGCACTTGTTTTACTTTACACCAGTACAGGACGTGTAACACACACGTCTGCACAAGTGAGTGGCACTTGTTTTACTTTACACCAGTACAGGACGTGTAACACACACGTCTGCACAAGTGAGTGGCACTTGTTTTACTTTACACCAGTACAGGACGTGTAACACACACGTCTGCACAAGTGAGTGGCACTTGTTTTACTTTACACCAGTACAGGACGTGTAACACACACGTCTGCACAAGTGAGTGCCACTTGTTTTACTTTACACCAGTACAGGACGTGTAACACGCACGTCTGCACAAGTGAGTGCCACTTGTTCTACTGTACACACCTCATGAGGAAATTAAAGAATGAATGATAACTGACAGGAAACCTCAGGACTAATTTTTGGGGTTTTATTTAAACTTTAGAACACCGAAGAGTGTAGTTTAAAATGATATACATAGATAAAATCTCCAGCAACAACATTTTGATTGGCTGCTGAGAGTTTTTGTGTTTCAACATTATATTTTTCTAATTAAAATATTATTTTTAATTAGAGTAAATAATGTACATCTTGAATTAGCTGAAATTTTTTTTTTGCAATTTTATTGAAGTAAAACTCATGAATTCAGGTTATAAATATTGGGAAAGACAAAATATTCCCTGAGTAGAATGAATAAATGAAAATGGTCTCATTGCAGAAATTAGTTTAACTTAAATTAAAACTCTTAATTAAACCCGTTTTGAATTCCAAAGCATCTATAAAATGATTTTGCATAAGTAACACTTTTTGTGGCATTTATAGTATAATCGAGGCTTATCAGAATTCAAAAATAGTTAAAACCACAATCCATTTAGTCATTTATATATAAATATTCATGTATCTACAGAAAAGACAAGTATAGCATTTTATTTATCTATATAATATTTCCCTTATAGTTGAAGCCACTTAAATCATTTATCTATAGTTATTTCCCTTATCTCAACAGAAAAGAAAAATTTTGCATTTTATTTATCTGTAAATATTTTGCTTATAATTGAAGCCACTTAAACCATTTATCTATAGTTATATGCCCTTACCTCTACAAGACAAGTATAGCATTTTATTTATCTGTAAATATTTCCCTTATAGTTGAAACCACTTAAATCATTTATCTAAAGTTATTTCCCTTACCTCTACAGAAAAGACAAATATAGGATACTGGTCTGACTGGTTCAACACAAACAGGACAAAAACTGGTCACTTCCAGCAGCGGTTCCGCTTCAAGTGCACGGCTCCAGTTGACAACGCTGATGATATCAAGATAACATTCGCAGAAAGCCAGGCGCAGTTCTGTCCCAAGAAAACCAATACCTGCAGCAGCTTAGACGACAAAACATCGCCAACATCTTTATCAGCGAGATCTGACCTCGATGAATCTCTGCGTAGAGTTTGTAACCGAAAGACTAAATCGTTCAAAGGATTCTGTAACTGTCGAACTTTGGGTGTGTTTTTAGTGTGTAAAAAATGTGACAATATATGACTAGCAGAAAGCTACTGGGATGTACTGCTTGACTATTTGGTGGCCCTACCTGAATACTTTTGGGAGCCACAAAACAATGAAGTTAACCAAGTTATAATCCAAGATAAGAAGAAAGGTAGGAAAAGATTATCTCGGAAATATAACAAGACAAGATCATCACCTTGAGATGGGTTAACTTATTTTGTTTTTGCATTATAAATGAGATCCACAACCACACAATTTTGAAAACAAGTAAGATCAGAACTCTCTACCCCAAAGAATTAAAAAATTAAAGTATTAATACATTTTTGATATTTATTTAGAATATTTGATTTTTTTAGTTAAACGTTCTTTTCAAGCATTTCATGTTTTCCTGTCAATTATAATCTTTCATAATAAACAACTTTTTTGGTAGGGGTCATTTCTTTATTCTAAGGGGTTTTTTTTTACTTTATTTTTAACAATTTAGTTATATTTATTTTAATAGCAAATGCCAATTTCACTCCTGCAATTGGTAATAATACCTGTAAGCCATAAGTTAATCTTAATTAGAAATTTACTGTTACTTTATAAAGATTCAAAATTTTAAAATTGAATATTTTTTGCCTAATTGATTAGAATTAAAATTTGTATTATTGCTAGCATCAGATTTTGTTTTGTTTTTAGGGGTCATTCATTTATGTCCTAAAAAAACTGGATATTTAGACACACTCCTCCTTTCCCCAGCTGTGGATATCCAAAAGATTTAATTTGAAAATTATACATAGGTATAAAAATACTTATGCATATAAATTCATTACTGTATATGTGTACTTTGCAGTGCTGTATTTCATTGAATGTTAAAAGTAAAAATTAAAATCATTTGAGAAAAAATCTACTTTTTTTTTTACAACCCCTCTCCATTCATGAGATAAACATAAATGATTGACCCTTTTAAACTGCTGTAACTGTTCAAACAATACATCTTGTTGATTCTCTGTCTTCCACAAAAAAACCAAAACATTAAAATTTTGCTATTGCAAATAAATTATTTCTTAACAATTTTAATCTTGTAAACATCTCCTAATTCTTAATGGAGGTATTTTCTTAATATATTTTTCAGTTAGAAATATGAAGTGTGCAATTTTCTACATGCTAAACACCTAGTTAATATTCCATTTAAGCTGTGATCACTGATCTTATAAACAATAAAACTGTAGATAAATGACTGATATTAAATAATTAAGGTTAACTATATTCTAAATGCATATCAACTATTGTTTATAAACTATACATAGTTTTAATATCTGAACTTAATTTTTACCCAAATAGTTGCATGAATTTATAAAATATATCTGGTTATATTCTAGCACTGACAGTTTTTACTTGAAGATCTGACAATTACCTGGCACTGCATGTTTATTCTATGTTCACTCTAGTTACCCTACTGCTGGTATACAAACTTATCTGATACACCTTTGTGATTCCAAACACAGATGCTCAGCTAAATTTAGACTTTTTTAAATTCTTTGTCTTTTTTAGAGTTTTTTTTTAAATACTGGATTTTTTTTTAATTATGTGTTGTTTTTTTTTAGTTTTTAGAGCCATCTTTATAGCCTTAGCCTATAGTTTTTAAAATAAAATGTGATGTGTAGCTGGCTAGTTGAAAATTTGATTGTTGATACTTAGGTTGTGTTCAATTTGCCAGTGTGTAAAACTGATATGAACTAAAGCCAAGAAGATGAGAATCAAAAGAATAAAAAGCTATATTTCCTTTTTTTTTTAATAGTTAAAAGTAACTTAAAGAATGTTAATAGCAATTATTGCTTCTTTTATATCTTTAGGATTAGACCCCAAAGTTTGCCCTATGAATAAGGTTTTGACAAAATATAAAAATCTCATATTGTCCTAAAATTTAGAATAGACAAAAAGGTTTTAAATAAAGCAAATGAGAAAATCAACTGAACAAATTTAGACTAATCAGGAAATACAGAATGCAAACAACAAAGGTTTCTGGGGTAGAGTGGTGTCCCCTTCTCATTTATATAAACAATAGCACAAGTCAAGCAGTGAGGAAACTGAACTCCCAGTAGCTTTATCAATCATTTCATAAATAAACAACATGTCAAACTTGAGTCATTAATCAAATAACCTAATGTCATTTTTTGGATATATTGTTTTGTTTCTGATCTTTGTGTAACAAAGTTCATTTTTTTTATTAGTACTGGTTGAAAGTTGGTGTGATGAACGAATGTTTATGATATTTTAAAAGTAAGTTAATGAATGTTCATAATAAAATATTTCATGGTCCATTTCAAAATAGATTGGGTATGAAAATTGTTTTCTACATGGGTTCTTTTACTACTGAAGTACTGAAGAGTTTATTTATTAAGTAATATTTATGTTGTTGCTATTTCAAAATATATAAATATTCCTTTGCAATACACATTAAAATGCATATATAATCAAAAAGATTATTAGATTTAAGGGTTGTCGTTAACTTGTCTTGTATATTGTGTTTCAATCAATCCATTAAATAGTTAAAATTGTAATTGTGAGAAAAACAAATGCTTTAGATTGTTTTAGTTGCACTGCATGAAAAATATACATTCATTTCTTTTCATGGCTGTACTTAAACATTTTTTATTTATTGATAATTTTCAATGCTAACTAATGACACATTGTTGTATTGCTTGTATCCTGTTTGAATGATTTGTATCCACTTGTATGACTTTGTATTCTGTTGAATAACTTGTATAATGTTGTATGACTTTTGTCTTGTTGTATGACTTGTACCTGATATCTCCATAATATTTTCTAGCTGCATTGTGATGTTGTATTTTGTTTAAAGCATTTTTTATGCTTTATACATTTTTAGCTACATTGTTCATGAAAATGTTATATTTGAATTTTTTTTTTTTTTTTTTGTGGCCATTTTTAAGTAGAATATTTTTTTCAAAATGCTGAACGGATTTGTGGATTTGTACGATGTTTGTTGTACATAACAAAAAATACTGTTAACCAATGACTAATTTATTAAAGTGGTAATTAGGAAGTTTTTAGCTAAAGTTTTTTTAATATGAATGTTTCTTGTGATGGTTCTTTTCACCAGCAACAAATGTATCAATCGGCTGCCATTTTGCAGCAAGCCATTTTCCTGCTTTACAACTGCAGCAGTTGTTTCAAGCACAGGCCACTAGTATCATTCATCCATCAACTCCAACCATGGAAGACACACTGACAATACTCATTAGGTTTTACCACTGTACGAATAACATAATGTTAATCCAATTGTTAACTGCACATAATGCATCTGTCCAGATTGTTATTTTATATTTTAGGCCTTAATCTTTATCTCACAATCATATTAGGCTGATATATATTCAAGGAAATAAGTTTGTAAATATTGAATATAAAGCTAGACAATGAAAATATATTTTATATATAAATATTTATATCTTAACCATATATATTTATACCTTTTTTTACAAAACAAATTGTTACTAAATGTAAAAGATTTCAAATTTTAAAAAAATAAAATTGTTATTAATATTGTAAACAATACTTGAACAAAATGAATGAAAATGGTTTCAGTTTTTTTGGTACACTTTTAATAAAAGACAAGCATAAATAATTTACAATTTTAGTACTGCAAAACATTTCTGAATTACATGTGCACTAAGCTCTGTATAAATATTAGCAGGCAGTAGTCAATCAGCAGAGTCCTTATAGAAATACAAACCTAATAACATGTGCAGTTGTTCAAGAGAATGTAAATGTATATATATATATATAAGGCAGGCTTTGTAAATGATGTAGAATAATGAGATTATAACCATTGATGTTTTTTTTTGTGTCTGTTTTTGCCTGTAGTCTCATGCTTTATATCACAACATGAAGATCTTACCCCTACAATATTTCACCTAACACAAGCTTCATGATTAGAGTTTCAGAATTATAGTACAATTATTTTAAGGGAAAAATTTCTCCTTGGTAAATATTTGTACTACTATTACATTTTAGTGTTGTCTCTATTTAATATGATTTTGATTTAAATTTAAGCATAAATTAGCCAAGAACAGTTATGAAAACAAGATTTTAAAAATGCACAAATTGCATTTTTTGTGTGCGTGCATTCTGCTGATTGTGCTCATTATATTTACATGTGAATGGGGAACATTTAAACCCACACAATCATAAATATATAAATACAAATATTATATATACATACAAATATATATATATATATATATATATATATATATATATATATATATATATATATATATATGTATGTATATATAAATGAAGTCAGTGTTCAATATTATGTATTGATTCCTACCTGACAAGAACTTGAGATATCTCACATTTCAGTGTAAGGTATGTGAAAAGGACTTTCAGTATAGTTATCTTCATTCATATGTATAACTGACCAGTCAACAAAAGGTTTTAACATTTTTCGAATAAATAATAGGAGGATTGTTTTTTGTAATACAAATTCTAACATTTTTAGTTTTAAAATGTAATATAACATATTTTGGAAATAATAGTTTTTACAACTTCTAGTTTTTATTATTATAGTAATTAATTTAAGAAATAATTTTTTTTTTTTTTAATATTTTAAACACTTTAGATGTCTTACATAGGGCTTGGATGAGATTTTAAAAGTGTACATTTCATGTATTTACATATGTATAAAAAGTCATATATTTATATGCTGTAATAACATTGTTATTTTGGATCACCGTTCATTTTTTCTGTTTGTTTTATGTGATTGTTAAATTATTAAATGTTTTGTTCCAATGTCAATTTCCTTGTTTTGAATTATTTTTCTAAAAAAAAAATCCAGTTGAGGGGTTAACAAATTATTCTCCATTAATTATGGGGTAAAGGTCATTTTTGTTCAATATAAAAAATAATTTCAAAATTATATTCTAAATAAAATTTTCTTTCTCATTATGTTTTTGTTTCGTTTTTTTTTTTTTCAAATACGCCTGAGTTATGTTAATGTGTTTAAAATATGTTGTGTGAATTTAACAATTATTTACTTATTGCAAAACATAGAACACGCCTAAAAGTGGATAGACAACCTATATCGAAAGCTTTTCAATAAATAATGCTTGATTACTTCCCTTTCATCTTCCATCCTATTTTTATTTTCTTTCAAACAGGGGAAACAACTTTTATACAAAATAATTTTAAAACCCCCCAAAAAAAGTAAAATATATGTTTATATAAACAATAGTACAAAGTTTCATTTCAATTATGAATTTCGTCAAACACTATTATTAACAACCTGATAACTCCAAAATACAGTTATCAAGTTACCTGACATTCTTACTCGTGATATTCAAAACCTTTGAACTCTATTGACTTGCAATTGATTAACAAATTTATTCTCATAACTACAGTTTTTTTCTGCTAATGTTTGGAATAGTCCCAGAAACCCGTGATGTATATTTAAATACAAACAAGTAATTAAAAAAAGTCTAGTGACAATTTTAGCGCAATTTCCTTGTGTTATCTAAAAATAGCTCTGTAGTAGCGTAAATCAAGAGCAGGGTTAGTAAAACAATTGGTTAGTTATTAAAACGTTTTTCATTAATTTTTTTTCAGTATTTTACATGTTTTATTTACAATAGAGTAACATGACTAAAAACCATTGCGCGCCTAGCTACCGAACGTGACGTCGCAGCCATTGAACGTGATGGCGCAGCTATTGAACGTGATGACGCATGTGGTGTGGTTGCATAAAATACCTACTAATTCGGTCCAAATTTTAATTAATTCAAAAAAAATTTTGTGACCGAACGAAAGGATATTTTTGAAAACTTTCTTCGGCAATATTGTTCTAAATTATGGCAGGAATCGATTGGTACATGTTTCAAGTCGCTAAGTGGTCTGGTTGCCGAGATATGGGCCAAAAACTGCTTTTTTTTTAGGTTTTTTGGATTTTCCGGGAAATCCATGAAAGAAACCCGGAATTTTTATGGCCTATGTTCATCCTCGTAACTTGCTTAACATAATTGCTTTGGAACTAGTCCTCGATATTGCTTCGTTGAGGAGGAGATA